GAGCTTCCCGAGAACCTTTATATCTGTTATCCATTTTCCTCAGAATATGTATTCACAGACGAAAACTCACTGTAACGCACAGTTGCACGAACGGCAAGCTACTGACGAAACGCGTCCAATTTCCGGCAAAGAATAACGGTCGTGTGATATTTCCGTTATACCTGGACCCGACCACGCCCGAAAACACAATAGAATCGTAAAACAGGTCTAGACACGCTCTCTTCGAAGGGTCGCTGCCTCTCGGCTCGGCCGCAAAACAGGCGGTACGGCGCGCTCTCGGAGACGGTTTACTCTCTCGGCTGTAACTTCGTTATTTATCGAGATATTGACTTGCAATTTTAACCAGATATTCTTGAGACCTCAAGCATCAAGAAAATGCAAAAAAAAAATCGATTTTTTCGACCATGCTAGGTGTATATCTCCCCTTAAACCCCGACAAAAACTTTCTCATGCAAATGAATTATGAGCAGAGGAGGGGGTCTTTTTGACAAATGTCCCATATATATGTATATACAATTTTTTAATGAATGGGATAGTTAAATAGAGAATATTTTTCTATAAAACTTTATATAAAATATTTTTTGATATTTCATTTAGTTTACGAAATTTATTTAAAAAATCGAAAGCTTTTGTATCTTTGAAGTCTGGTTTCACTTTTTCAAATTGTTTTTTAGCAGAAATTGAAAATTTCTAAATTTATCTATTTATTTAATCTACATTTATGAAATTTCATTCAATTGTTTCATTTATTTATTTAATCTATTGTACATTTGTGAAATTTCAATTTGTTTCATTAAAATCTAAATTCCTGGATTCGCGAATTATAAAAGAAATACATACTTCCAATAAATGAGAGCTAAAGTGCAGAGGGATGTAAACCAGATAAATTATTTTTATTTCTTATTTTTTGTGCCAAATTTACTTCACGTATTGTATCCAAGCTTTTAAATTATTTAATCATATATTAATTATAATCATATATAAATTATTCATATATAAATTATATATAAATCATATATAAATTAATTATAATCATATATAAATTATTCATATATAAATTATATATAAATCATATATAAATTAATTATAATCATATATAAATTATTTAATCATATATGTTTTTTTAGGATCGGAGATATCTAAACGCAAAGAAATATCAAAATGAAAAATGCGTAACGCTTATTTGAACACTTACCCACAGCCATCATTAACTTGTGTATATCCAGAATTGATAGAAACTGTGAAAAAAAAATTATTTTATTAGATTATAAATATTCTAACCTTCTCTCATTTCCTCTCTTTATTCTATGTCTTTTTAAATATGCTTTCTTGTTCCTACTTTTCTCTTTCTCTTTATATCTCTTTAATCTTGAGTTTTACTTTGTTAGTGCTTCTTTTTCTATGTTGAATTGTGTTAATATCGCATATTAACAAATTGCGTTAAACACATTTACATTGTATACTTTATCTTAAGGGATTATACCTACTGGTAAATTTTCAATAAATCGATTTTTGTATTTTTGCATATTCTTAAATTATAGAGTCTCAAGAATGATGGGTTAAAATTTTATGTTGATCCGATTAAAATTGGCGAAGTTATATAAGTTTAAAGACTACGGTGTACGGAGCAGGTACCGCACAGCAGATGCACCGTGCACAAAAGCAAACCCTTTTCACGCTTCTTTATTCAAATGTTATATATGGAATTTTAAACTTGTTTAGGTTATAGAGAACCGACATTCAGTGGCTGCGTTCAGCAGAGAAAGCTGCTTTGCTGCTTTGCTAAACTGTTATAAAATTCTTACATCGGATTGGCCTATGCTCTTAGATGTAGTCAAAAATAAGAGTATACACCAATCAGATTCACGAATTTTACAACAGTTGCAAAGCAGCTTTTTCTGCTGAACGCAGCCAGTGTTTGCGTCGACTGCGCATGCTCAGCACAGATCAGATGTTTGCTTTCTATAACCTATATGTCCAAGTGAATGTTTGTATATATCAAAGCAGTTGTTTTCGTGTGTTAGTCACATTTTAGTGTTCGTATAGCCATGAACAGTCGTCGTAAAGATTCTAGAAATTTGAGAAATTCGTGCGGTTTTCAAAAATCAAAATGCAAGAAAAGAAAACCTGTGAATCCAAAGTTAATTGAGAACGATTCTGCTACTTTCAGTGCATCTGCGAAAAAAATAAAACATCAAAATGATGTAACTGTACCTGAAGATCGTTCAATTGAATATAGATTTGTTAACATTTTTTTTTCGTTTTTACGACGATTTCAACATTTGTCAAATGTAAAGTGTGTGAAGGCAATGTTAAGTTTGAAACTGCAAGTTCGCGAGGGCTTGGGTTCAAAATTGTTTTAACGTGTGACTCGTGTATGCCTCATTACATTCCTTCGTGCCCTCTCACTGGTAATACATATAAAATCAACAGACGTTTTATTTTTGTAATGAGAGTATTGGGCTTAGGTTTGAAAGGTGCTCAGAAGTTTTGTGGTCTCATGGACATGCCAGCGTTTCTTTGTCAAAGCACATTCGACATTATTGTAAAAAAGCATACACCAATGCATAAAAGAACTTTGTGAAAAATATTTCAAGAATGCTGTAAAAGAAGAAATAGAAAAGAATTGTGAGGAAAGAAAATCAATTGTCGCCTGTAGAAGTCTCCCGTGATGGTTTGACCAGGTTTTAGCAGCTCATAGTGGATCACACCCTTCTGATCCCACCAAATACAGAGCATTACCTTGGCATCATGGATATTCGGCTTCGGCGTTGATGTTCCCGGTTGGCCGGGCTTTACATACGATTTTTTGCGTTTCGGGTTGTCGTAGTGAATCTATTTTTCGTCCCCGGTAATGATTCGATGCAGAAAAGACTTCTTTTTGTACCGTTCAAGCAACATTTCGGACATGCAAAATCGTCGTTCAATATCTCTCGGTTTCAATTCGTATGGGACCCAATTTCCTTGCTTTTGGATGTATCCCGCGGCTTTGAGTCGTTTCGAAATAGCTTGTTGAGTAACTTCCAATGTTCTTGCGAGCTCTTTTTGCGTTTGACACGAATCTTGATCGAGTAATGTTTCTAATTCTTCATCTTCAAACTTTTTCGGTTGACCCGAACGCTCTTTGTCTTCAACACTAAAATCACCACTTTGAAATCGTCGAAACCATTCTCTGCAAGATTTATCCGACGGTGCAGATTCACCATAAACTTCCACAAGCATTCGATGCGCTTCAGCTGCACTTTTCTTCCAATTGAAACAGAAAATCAAAACTTCTCGCAAATGGTGCTTATTTGGAACGAAACTCGACATTTTCAACGCAGTAAAAATTAAACTTGTTGTGCAAAACTCAAAGGCTTGTAAACAATATTTGGTTGACAGATGTTGACACTTCACGATACAGCAAAAATCAGCTGTCGCCGTCAACCATTTATAGCACCTAGAGCCATCTTTTGAAAACGGACCGAACTAAGTTGTACACCCAATACGACAGAATTAACTGTGTCTGGAGAAGGAACATGGAAAAAATGAGGCTTCAATTCATTATACGGCGTTTCTTCTATTGTTGGATATTATAGTAGCCAAGTATTAGATATTGTTGTGAAGAGTTCATACTGCAAAATATGCGAGGTTTGGAATAAAAAAAAGATACTGTGAAGTACGAAAAGTAGAGTAAAATTCACGAATCTGAATGTACAGCAAATTATACTGGGTCATCTGGCAAAATGGAAGTAGACGCTTGAATGAAAGATGGTAGAAATGTTTCAACGATCAGAACAAAATTACAGCGTAAAGTACATAAATTACATCGGAAACGGCGATTCAAAAACTTATTCTGCAATTGTAAAATTAAATCCTTACGAAAATAAATCTATTAATAAAAAAGAATGCATTGGTCATGTGCAGAAGTGCATGGAAAGTCGACTTCAAGAGTATAAAAAGAAAAACAAAGGACTTGGCGGCAAGGAAAAATTGACAAATAAAATAATACATAAATTAACGGTTTATTATGGCTTGGCAATTCGACGAAATTGTGACTTTGTTGAGAATATACAGAGAGATATATGGGCAACGTATGACCATTACCGATCAAATGACTAACATCATTACGAGGGCTGCTCCGTAAGTTTTGCGACTTGGCAACACTGGCGTTGCTAGGTAAAATCTAACCTTACCATCAAAAAGTTTGACAGTTTGGAAGATTTTTTTACTCGAAACGTTTTGTCGTACAGAGGCTACTTGTATTGTTTACAGTGACTTGAAAATTGTGTCTCAGCGAAAAAATGGAATTAACACGAGAACACTTTCGTGCGATGATTTTTTACGACTTTCGACGTGGATTATCGAGACAAGAGTGCATCGATCAACTTGCTTCCACTTTTGGCAATGAAGCACCACACAAGGCCACTATTTGTCGCTGGTTTAATGAATTCAATCGTGGTCGTAGTTCGCTCACCGACGAATCTCGCGAAAGTCCTCCAAAATCATCTGCTGTGCCAGAAAACATCGATGCTGTGCGTGAATTGATAATGCAAGATCGACATGTGACATACCGTGAGATTCAGGCATCCCTGGATGTTGGTAGAATTGCATACAAACGATATTGCACGAACATTTGGCCGTAAAAAAAATTTGTTCACGTTAGATCCCGCATAATTTGACAATTGCTTAAAAAAAGAATCGTGTAAATTGATGCAAAAAAATACTGAACAAATTCGATCGAGGTGCGTCAAATACCGGATATAACCTCTACACTGGTGACGAGTGGATCTACCAGGTATGTAAATATGAAACCGGAATTTTTGTATAGAAAATACACGTTTATTGTATGAAAATGATAAAAAATATTTTATTCGAAGTATTGCCCATCGCTAGCTATACATTTTTCCCACCTGTCTGACAATTTGTGGTTGTCACGCCAAAAAAATTGTTGCTCTTTTGAGGCAAACCAGTCATTGAGCCATTTTCGTACATTTTCGTAAGAAGTGAAGCCCTGCTTAGCAAGTGCGTGTCCCATAGATGCAAATAAATACTAATCGGACGAAGCCATGTCTGGTGAGTAAGCCGCATGCGAAAGTATTTCCCAACTAAACGCCTCAATCGTTTCCTTGACCAGTTTTGCTGTGTGTGATGGTGCATTATCATGAAGCAAAATCACTTTGTGTTGCCCTTTTTTATATTCTGGTCGTTTTTCACGCAAAGCTTGATTCAAATCGATCATTTGTTGTCGGTAGCGTTCAGTATTAACGGTTTGGCCAGTTTTAGCAGCTCATAATAGATCACACCCTTCTGATCCCACCAAACACAGAGCATTGTCTTCCGTCCATAGCGATTTGGCCTTGCAGTCGATGTCGATGGTTCGCCTGGAGTTACCCATGATCTTTTACACTTAGGATTCTCAAAATATATCCACTTTTCATCGTCAGTCACAATTCGATGGAGAAATGACTTTCTTTTGTACCTGGCAAGCAGCATTTCGCAAGTGGTTTTTCGGTTTTCCTGCTGTCTTTCATTCAGTTTATGTGGAAACCATTTTCCCATCTTCTGGATCTTTCCCATGGCTTTCAAACGTATGGAGACGACTTCTCGTGTCACATTTAATTGATCCGCGAGTTGTTGCGTTTGAGTGTTATCCTCATCCAACAATGCTTGCAATTTGCTGTCTTCAAACTTTTCCGGTGGTCTTCCACGTTCTTCGTTTCTTACGTCAAAATCGTCACTTTTGAATTTTTTAAACCACTCAAAGCACTGTGATTTACCAAGAGTATGCTTACCGTAAGCTTCGACAAGCATTCGATGCGATTCTGCAGCAGTTTTCTTCAAATGGTAACAGAAAATCAATGTTGTCCGCAAATCGTAGCTTCCAGGCACAAAATTCGACATGTTCAATGCTATTACAAACTATGCTGTTGTATGAAACTTGTATTGTTGTGAGTTGAAAATCTTTGTCAGAGATGTCAACAAGGAAATGGTGCCAATGACGCGGTTTGACGGTAACTACATTGACAGCTAGGGCCATCTATGGGGAAATTCCAGTTTCATATTTACAGACCTGGTATGCATATGAGCCGGAAACCAAACAGCAGTCGACTGTGTGGGTCTTTCGAAGTGAACCTAACCCAACAAAAGTTGTTCACGCTCGAAGCACTTCGAAACGAATGGTCGCCTGTTTTTTCGGAAAAACTGGTCATGTGGCAACAGTATCCTTAGAGAAACGTAGAACGGTCAATTCTGAGTG